ACCGAGTCTTATTCATTTTGACCTAATTGAGCGTCAGATACACTTAGCCTGCACACTTGTGCATTCAGATCTCCGGCAACTACAGCGATATCTGAGCTTTTAGCTCGCCGCAACAGGGCATTCAGGGCGTCGTAAGACCTATCTTTGAAGGCGTCGGAGATACAGTCAGTTAAGGCGTAAGGAAAACTATAAACAGGCATTGATCAACTTCCCGCTTGTGAGACTCCTTCACCGATGTTATCACACGCACCACACAGGGGTGACTGTCAACATGTATCCAGTCAAGCAAGGATAATTACGCCCGATGACTAAGGATGATACCAAAACCTGCATATCCCGCTGCAGCAGCCACTTGGTCACCGGAGGTACGTAACCGGAGGTGAGTGGAGAGTGATGGGGCGGTCAGCTCAACCACTGTGCTTGTTTTTTGAATTCTTATTTCTGATACACAGCACACAGTGCCAAGCGAGTCCGTTGTGAAAGCTAGAGCAGCTTGCTGTCCTGCAGCTTTAGAGTACGGACACTGAAGGGGGCCAGATAGACTGGGCCTCGTGGCTTGAAGATTGATTTCGAGATGCCTGAGGATTTCGGCCCCGGATGACCGCAAAACCGTTGCAGGACGAACGGAGTCATCAGTCTCAAGTGCCCACAAGGAGAGTTATTAAGAGGATGGGGATAGGGGGAGAGAAAGAAGGGGGCGGCAGTAGTAGCCTGTCTTCGCTTACCCGCCCTGCTGTATGGAGCGTATGAGGCGTCTGTCTGGTGGCACTAGGCGACGGCCGATGTGGAACCAGTTTATTGTCGGACGTAGGTATCATGGTTGTAAGTGGGCTGGGATACTCTCTAACCGTCCACACCTAGACGGGAGGACGATACGGGTCCCCAACCAAAGCCTTTGGCTCAAGAGCGTAAGGCAGTGGAATGCATGTCAGAAAATGCATATGCAGTACCGTTCTCACGGAATACTTTAAGCAACTGAGGGGAGAGATGGCCCAAGTGGTTAGAGCGCGAATTTACTGACCGGAAGGTTCGTGGTTCGAATCCGACCTCCGCCACTCGACTTCCCCTGTCTAGGCTTGGGCAACCTGGCAGTATCCTAGCCCTCGTGCTTCCTTCGGGTGGCATGGCAGTTAGGCACCGGAAGGGTGCTACAGCTGAACGCTTTTAAGCAACTGTTCAAATACCCGTCAACCAAAACTCGTGTTCTTGATACCAGCTTAGCCTCAATCCGCACGGTGTCACTTTGAATTGTTGTGTTCGTCAGACAACGGAGGGGCAGAAAACTTCCTCAAAACCCCGCAGGTCTACAAATTCTGCATTTCGAACCGCTCTACAGGCTTTTTCGCTCAATCTGCAGAACGAACCTTTGCGAGCGATTGGAGTGCCTCAACATTACCAGTAATTCCCAAAAAAGGGATAGGGCAGTATGCAGAACTTGGCGGGCAACTAGTATGTATCATTTACGTTGCTGGCATACTTTTTGCGTGCCTTCTGCTACGTTTTTTTCCGAACACGAACTACACGCACAAGACCACACCAAAGAGGTTTCTGTCCTGGTAGAGCTTCCATGAACCGAATATTCTCTTTGCGACGAACAACAACCTGGAGGATTCTCAACTGCTCACGCTTTAAACATGGGGTAACCGATGGTCTTGAATTTGATATCCGCAGTTTAGGATCTACTCTGTACTAGAAGTCCGAAGACCCTCCGAAATGGATTCCTGCGAACAGCAGACCAACCCTTGTAAGAGTAGCTAGGACTTGCTAAGCTTACGGACGGCAGATAAAAGTACATAAGTTGTTCTTGGTTTCTACTTGTCCCAACGAATAGCAGCACGAGTGAGGAAAATACCACTTCTACTAGGAGCTCAAAATGACCCATTGGTTAGGGCGCGAAGTTAATGACCGGAATTATCGTTTTTCGAACCCAACCTCGGCATCTCAACTGTTTCGTCTAGATTTGGCAAACTGGTATTATCTTGGCCATCGTGTTTCCTTCTGTTGGATGGCAGCTACGCACTGAAAGTGTGTTACAGCTGAACGAGTTCTACTGTGGACTTTCGACCCCTCGATAAACGAACAACATTGTCACAGTTGTAGCAGGTGTCCTAAGCGCTCAGAATGGGTGATCCCCTGCGTTCCTGTCCCAAGTAGACAGTGGTGGACGATCCACTTATTGTAGACGGGCCCTGATCTGTATGTTGGGAACACTAAGCCAGAGATTAAAGGAAGCTTAAGGAAAGCACTCAATTGTGTCGTTAAAGGCAACTTGCACTTCCATCATCTTCAAAAAGACCACCAGGGCACCGGTCTCAAAATTTGCGGTTACATTCAACGAATTATTGATCACTGACTACCGGTATAATCTTTGGACATTTTCGATTCGCGCCACGACCTAATCCAGTGTGTTTTTCATCGAAGAATGAACTTAATGCGAGTCTCCCACAGACCACGAAGCACTGTAGAATGGACCCGCGTCGATTCGGTCTTAAATCCAAGAGTTCCGCAAGCTAGACGATTCAGTGGTAGTAAACCACTGTCAAACGGAATGACAGCATATTCGGAACTTATCGCGGTGCATAGAATGATGGGTTGGCCACATGTAGTCGCAGACTAACTGATATTCCGTGCACGGATGTTGTATACTCTAGACACTAGTGCAACTCCTATGTGGTCCTTAGCTTCTTGTCCTACCCACTATGGTTTATCAAAAGGCACCGTAGCTTAAGACAGCCTTGCGTGGAAACAAAGGAAACTTACTACAAATACATTTATAGGGTTGTCAAGGGATTTCTCACAAGGTCACAGTAGAAGCTTCGTAGGCGGACGAGAAGCACCGAGAGGTAGCAAGCATAGCTGGATTGAACCTCTTTGTATTTCATGGGGCAGTTCAGATTTCCAGTCAGATTGAGTCTTCCACCAAACGCATTACGGACGGTGCACTTTGTATGTTCAATTGTCGGTCTTTCAGTTACGTTCCAGGTTCGTTTTGAAAATCGATGTGAGGTCAGAGCGTGTATCAAGTTAGAGGATAATCGGTGTACCATTGACGCACACTGATCGATTTTCGTCGGTCGTTTATTCTGAATACTTCGATAAGCTCCCTTGAGTGTGTTGCTTTTTAAGCCATTGTTTACGCGAGCTCCTGAAGTTGTTTCTGGGGCACTTTCCTTTATGACCGCTTCGATTGTGCTTGCTGCACCTGTGGTTCCGATAGGCAGATGGGCGTGAAGTACCCCGTTCTTTACAATACCAGCAGCGTGTGGGTGGTCTTCTTGGGGTCAGTTTGGAAGTTGATTACCTTTTGGGGATTGCTTTTCATATCTGAGAATGTTCAATGACTGCAACTTCAACCTTGAGTTTGATTAGCTGCTAGCATTCGATGGTAAGCCGGATCCTATTCAGTTCGATTTAGTAGCTGGTTCCAAATATCTGCATCGTGTGGCCACAAAGATGTGACACTTGAATTCATTCTCGGTTGTGGTGCGGAGCTTGAAACGCTCACATTCTTTGTTGGCCACACCGATATGTGTGATGAAATCTTCGGTATCCCCCTTGGTACTCTTGAGACACACCATTATCATCATCGACACCATGACATCAGTGTCCAACACCGATGCTTCACTACCGTACAACCATGATTTATTTGAAAGCCTTATTGTAAAGGAAAGAACAAAGGTGGATGAGGAAGCGACTTAGTGCCTGCCCACTACAATAATTCCGAGGTGCCTACACCTCCATACACTCATTCAGGCAGTCTGGATATAAACTGACAACAAGAACGCCACCGGCATGAGACTTGAGATAACGAATATTGAGCAAGGAACTATACTCACCGAATACTTGGACAAAGATCGTGGTGGTGCATGTGTCTTATGGGTGGTGTTGCAATTCGTATGTCGGTGCCTGACATTATCCGTCGTCCTATTTACTCCTACATGGGGCCTCGTCGGCTTGACAAAACCCAACTTGTGTGTTCACTTTAGGCAGCTTTTGGAAACAGAATACGTAACTACTTTGATATTAATAATCAGGGCATCAAAAAGTACTGAATGAAATCGAAGGTTATGATGGCTCGCAGAATCTTTGTGCTTCATCCATGATATGACGGTTGTCTTTCTAAACTGGTGGTGAAACACTGGCATTGGAATACCCTTTTGCGATCACTGATTCACTGTTTGACAAGCTTTGCTGCATTACTCACCGTTTGTGCTTCGCTAATCCCTCCTGAAGGGTGTTAGAGCTGAATGATTATCATTTAGCTCGAGATTGCTCACTGGTTGAGGCGCGAAATTAATGACCCAGAGTCCGTCGTTCGAACCCCACCGCGGCATCTTTACTGCTCCTCTCTGGGCGTGAGCAACTTGACAATATCTCAACGCTCGTACTTCCGGGTAGTGAGACAGCTAGGCACCGAAAGGATTTTAGAGCTGAATGGTTATATCATTATCATTGTTATTTCCATTTTTATTAATACTATTATTGGTTGCTCTGTGCGAATGAGATTAAAGCTTACGTATAGTTTCGTTTACAGGCACTGACTCACCAAAATAACCCCAAAGGTTAGAAACGAGCTTACCGAATGTCGTTTTTTTCGATGCTTTTTAATACTGATGGTGACTGCTACTATTGGTTGCTTCACAACCGAAGCTGTCTGTGTCACCGTAGAGTCCACTGCACTCTAATCTATGAACTCAACAGATTGAGAACATTCTACTCGACCGTTTACTGTCACCGAATACATTTGTGCTCTCAACGGATTTTAGGGGTTTTCATTCAAAAGTAATGTGTTTCAAGTCTTGTGACTTGGGGCACGAGTTCATCACCAGAAACACTCCCACTTAGCGCATTCGCCGCAATGCAAACACTACCTATGGTTTTCACTTGTTCAGGTTTCGTGTATACATTTGAACCAGTCTTTCTATATGGTCAAACAAGATTAACCAATCGCTGTACTGTTGCTCATATATTATTTCGATCTTCACTTATTCTCATCACAGCACAAATTTTTCGATTCCGGGGACTATAATATGGCTAGAGCCAAGATCTTGCAACAGAAAACCCATGTCCTCCCCCCACAGACTGAAGAGGCTATACTACACGATTCTACTGGTGACACAATGGCTACACCAGACAGCGTTCCGGCCGTTCGGAAGAAGTCAATGGTCATGACGGGTCCTGGTGAGCCGGTCAATCCAGTAGCGATGACGGCTGCAAGCAGAAGTCCAACGTCACCACGCAGTTCAAGGCTCTCCGAGTCATCCGTTTTTGATACGCGCCGTTTATCTTCAGGGCACATTGGCTCGCGTTCGATTGACTCTTCATGATCTCCATGAAGTCAAGGCTCGATGAACAATGTTTCGTGAAAGATTCTACCCTCCTTATCAGTCTCACGACCGTTTCCAGGTCACATGACCGAATTTTGTGAAAATTTTCGTACTACCGGCTATCCTGCCTGCCGGAGCGGGCTTCACACAGTTTTCAAAATATCCCAGAATCCTCCCCCTGATTCTTTTCGTCTTACCTTTCTGTTATTTCCCATGTCTTCGGTATTTATTTCCCCCCTCTCCATCAGCTTACGCAATCATAGACTTAGTCTGTGAAATGTGCTGCATTTCTCATCGAATTTCCTGGTTTTGCGCCTTTCCCCCTATATCATGAGATTCTTCGTGTTCTTCGTTTCTCCCCATGTTTGGCTGTCATCCGTTCACTGTTCATACCATTACCACTGCTCTCAACGATTCAGCGCTTTCTCCACGTAATTATAGGGTAAAGGTTTCCTCAGGTTTCCTGGAAGATGCCAGGTCTTAAAACATGCCGTTGCTTTATGGTACTCAGTATGGAGAGGCTGATGAAATTCTTCAGACATGGTTTGGTAATCCCTCTAGTCCATTACTTGTGTGCTCAGATCCTTTGTCTCCATGATACCATTTTCAAGGCAGTTTACCGCGCATTAGCCACCGTAGGATTCTTCCGTTTAAAACCTCCAACTTTGCTGCATATACACCGGATCTGTCCAACGTTACATAACTCCTCTGTAAGTACTACTTCCTGGAGTATAGCAGTGTATCTCCTCCTCGCGGAAACGGGAACATGCCTCGGGTTACTATAATTCCCTCCTATCTATCAGAACAGGGGGGGGGGCGATACCTTTAGAGACATTCTCATCCCATTACATCTAGATTTCTACAAGTGAGTGACTTTTGTGTCAGCTAGCTGTAGCACGTTCGTTCAAATGAGGATCAGATCACTGAGTACCAACTTGTGATTCTCCAAACGCTGCCGGTACTACACGTGTTGAGCTGTCAGTATCCTTTAGCTAGATGCGCGAGCTGCGTACGGCTTTGATGCATTGCTTCAGTTGCCGAAAAGTGCATTCCTTGCCCAGCTCCGCCAACATGTTCGTGCGTTATTCAAACAGTGACTTTCAGTAAATCAGTCATTGGGTGCAAATGGGGATCTAACCTTGATTCGAATTAACCCATTTTGTGAAGTTTGAAGACTGCCTGGGTTCAGCCGGGCTGTTATTCAGAATATTGAGCTTCCTTCTGTCAAACAGTATTTCATACGCCACCGGCTTTAGTCTCTTTCGGGAGTGGTGCATCAAACCCGATTATCTGGATTTTCTCTTCGGAGTTTCTTTAATGACTGCTCAGTGGTTAGAGCACGAATTTACTGACCGAAAGGTCCATGGTTCTAACCTGACCCCTGTATCTCCACTTCCCCTATCTAGGCTCAGACAACCTGGCAATATCTCGTGCCTCATGCTTCCTTCGAGTAACATTGCAGCTGGGCACCGAAGAGGTGCTGCAGCTGAACGATTATCATTCTGTGTGAAAAGAAGGAACAAACTTTTAGTGCAGTAAGTCCAAGCGGTTTGGTGAGTGCTCCTACAAACAAACACGTCGGAAACGTTTATAAAACAAGCCGTCGGCTTGTTTTCGGCGAAAGCAAGTAGTAAAGGTAGAACGCTATCGATACGCAACGACTGATATCTTAATTAATTACCCACTACTTCAACTTGTAAACTTGGCAAGCTGACAGTGATATTCTCCACTTCCGCAAGCTCCGATAAACACCCAGATTCGACCAGTCATGTGAATTAAACGGACGAAGTCTCGTTTATTTATTGATCAACAGTTTTTTGCATTGTGAAAAACGACTTACTTGCGCAAGCCGATTGGGGTGGAAATGATGCCGATCCGTCCAAGTAAGCAGTATGGCAAAAGGTGGACAGCATATTGCACAATGAGGCCGTTGGGATCACTCGGATGAGAGACAAAACGGCTTTAAATGGTCATTCCTCACAGTCGCTTCATTCTCCCTGCTGGCATTCATTCAATTGCTTTTTCCGCAGATCAATACACTGAACGTTTTATGGATGCGTCACGAAACCGCATTTGTCCCATCCAACGAACTCATTAATCAAGTTAATCCCTTCAAAAAGTGCTGCTGCTCCCAGAGTTATGTTGCGAAAAGCTAACGGTTATTGGTGCATCGAATAACTTGCTTGTATTAGGCGCTGCCCGTCAGCCAAGTAAAATATTGTAACCTGTTGCGTTCAACTGCGACTGGGAAATCTGCCAGAGGCAACATCCCATTAGGAAAGCCGCATTCAACTCGCAAACCTTCGGCGTGTTTGGTCCCGGTCGTTCATTTGTGTATGATAGTTTTTACGACTTGGATTCTGGTTGTTTTAAACCGGAGTGAAACAGTCCAAATTCATTCGTCTTTCTCAGACTCTCCTACAGCCCTTATGACGTTTTGCAACAAAAAAAAGCCCATTTTGAATGTAACCTGCTGGATAACTGAAATCGTCGGTTTTAGGCACGACACTTGCTTTATATCCGGGCTAGTATAGTGGTACAGAGTGAAAGGTCGTCTATTTAAACTTATATTTGCCCTTCGAATGACACTTGTCCCAAAAAATTCGCTAGACTGTAATGTCAACTGACTACGCTTGAGATTTACGCATGGATGGTCATTTTGGATCGAATTTCGCAGAGACCGTGTGTCGGCTCATGCGAACTGTGAAGTTCGTTGAACGATACTACGTCAGCTGTTTGCAAAAGCTTTGTGTGAACAAACTTATTTCATATTGTTGCCCTTTCATTCACTACTATGCAGTTTTGATTAGGCCATTTGCCCTCAACACACGCCTATCCGACCACCTTCCACTACACACTCAAACTTTGTCTCTCCAGCTTGATTCACTCTGATCCTCTCGGCCGTGATGAGGCGCACGGACTTTATAGTTGTCTTGTTTCAACGAAACACCTAACATTGATGTCATAGATGAATGTCTGGTATTTGTGGCTACCATGGAAAAAAATAGGGGTATCTCATTTTCAAGACTTGTTCCGACGTCTGAAGATAAGTTACCATGCTCCAGATTAGCTACTCAAGCCGAGACAGCGAAAGTTGCGGTAGGATGCACTTTCCCCTCCGTAGAACTTGTTCTCACACGTAGATAATGGGCAATGTGTATAACCAGGGTGCACTTTCGTAATGCACTTCTCATAAGGTTTGCTGGAAATTCTTCGACAGCCCTTGACCGGTTTCGTCCTTCGTGGGGCGCAGTCCCCGACTTTCTATCAATCTTATGTTCTGCCTGTTTGCAAATGAGTGTATCTCGCTAAGAGTGCACTTTGTTTCGAATTTTACCCTGAACACAGCCATATACAACGTGCGCGGAATGGATGCTCTGCAAATTACTAGGCGTAAGTTTAAGCTCGAGATAGCATGCTGATTAAGACGCGATCTCACTGATTGGAAGCTCCATGGTTCGAACTCAATGTCGGCATCTCGGCCGCTCTCCGCTAGACGGCAGCTAGGTGGCGAAAAGGTGTCATAGCTGAATGCGTATCTATTTTATCATTACGAATAAGCGTAACGGGCGGTGCTTATGGCTGATGATTCCTAATAAGGATGAAACATTTGTACAGTGCTTCTCGGCTTTTCATTATATAATGGTTTTACTTACACGATATCTCATTTGAAACTCCTCATATCTTCTAATATTATGAGCACAGTACACTGATCGCGTTGTACTTTCTTGATTACAGATAACCCATCGCTTCGATTGTCTGTTGAACCGGAGCTAATCATTTTGGCATCCTCAGAGCTACCATGGCTCCAAATCTGGTAACAGTAGCCTGTTCATAAGATTCGATAGTTTTTGGAATCAAGATGATGATGACACTAGAAGTGTTGGAGGACGGGGGAAAATTATCTTAGAGAATGCGTGTTTTATAATACATGTCATTTTGTGAGACAAGCCATGTTAGAGTATCCATTTCTTCCCAAGGAGATGAAGTGACAAAGAAACAAAGAACGGAATGATGGCACTTTGTGGAAAATTTCCCCCACATGAAAGGGCAAATTTAAGAGGCGAAACTTTGCTATGCATGTGCATGACACTCAGGCGGTTCAACCTAACTGGGAACACTCTCGACTAATTTTTCTTGGGGGCAAAAGTAAGGTTACTGATGTATACTGAAGTTGCCAGTCCTACCTGGTAAGCACACGCGGTTGAACAATGGGTGGAGGACGGGTAACTCCGAGAAGATCTTACATCTACGACTGGGGACCTCAAAGCATTCAAGACTCTAGTACTAAACTTTGTAACTTGGTGGAATGCCACGAAAAATAACGATGAAGAAAGCATACGGTAAATATCCTGGATATTTCAGGTTTCACAAAGCCTCAGTTCATGATGTTTATTCAGAAGTGTTCTGCGACTCTGAACGCACACGAAATAGTATGAACGCATGTCTTTATCGATCGCTTACGTGTACACGCCTGTACAAGCTAAACCACCAATGTTAGCCATCATAGCAGTTGGACTTAGACTGTTATCAGCACACATCTGTTTATGTTTACCAACTTGAGGTCTATGTCGAACTTACTCGGCCTCGTTAACGTATGTCAGGAACTCATAACTTTATCTTTAAAGTCTTACGGGGAACAGGAGCGGAGGTCTTTCGCTTCAAACTACAGAAAAACAATGACAAAGAAATCATTAAAAAATGACAAGAGAGTATTCCAAATGGGTTTACTGTCCTAAGATGCTGTCCGGAAAAGTGGCGTTCCACCTAAATTTGTTTCCCCTTCAGCCAAAGTGTGGGGTGACTGTAATCCCACTCTAAGTAAAATTCAGTTACTAAGTCAAATAGAGCCGATCATGCAAGGTTAATATATTGTTATGCTATATTCCCCTACTGTACCAAATCTTACTGTAATAGCCCCTCTTTAGCAGGACACTTGGAGTGTCTAGGTTATTGGTATCCTCATACTACGATCGTACCTGGTAAGATCAGATTGGCTTCGAATTTTCGAGGTCCTATCAGAAGGTATATGCATAAAAAGTATACTCAAAATACAAGATTACCAATATCTATCCATATCGCTCGATGGAAAATGAGGAGAATATGAGTGACGATGATCGTGGGGATAAATGACACTTTAGAAGAAATGTGTACAAGTACAGGAGGAGAGGAACTTTGAAAATGAAGGGACGGTGAAACAATGAGGGAATATTGATGGCTTCAGAACTGCTCCTTAATTTTCATCTTCCGATCCTATCCCCTTGCAACTTGGTACTTGGCATTTAGCTGGATGCATGTGGATCACAGTACAGAGCGCGGGTTACGTTTTTTGGTCTGTGACTTCACAGGACAGTCGACAGGAACGTGGAGTTGGATCCACAGTGACACATCACATTATTGAAGGACTGCGAT